CTTCAGGTATGCCAGTTTTTATTCCCCGGCCAAAGGTCGGATACTTTTCTCACAGGCCTCATATTTATTAATATTAATTAAAGATACACTGCAAGAACTTTCATTTCACATAACATGAGACTGTTTTTATTGAAGATAGGAAACACGTGAAGACCAGCTTAAAATATTGATAACAGCACAGTTACCCAATTGATGAAGCAATTCATTCTAATTATAATAAATAAAAATGTAACAACAGTATATTAAATTTAGGTATGTTCATTACTGACTTGATTTTTAGCTATTAGCTTGTTTTAATCAAAAGTTAATATTAACCATCTTTCAGGTGACTGCAAGAACCACATTTGGTTAGGCTTTCATTTAGTACTGGTATCTAGCTATGGAACTGACAATACTTGTATACAACATAATTATTGCATTTCAATCCCAACTGATTTGCTTAGAAAATCATAACTTATTGTTGCATCTTATTAACTAAGAAAAAAAGTTTCTTTTTTTTTTTCTTTTTTTTATACACAATACCCTGATATGTTTTTCATTGAAAAATCATAAAACAGTGTACTTGTTCAATAGATTTGGCCCTGTACAGTAAATGATTTGTCCATTACTGCTGTCATATATATGATATTTACCTCCTTTGTTTTGCTTTCAAGAGTAATTATTTTTCTAGAACAAATTGATGATTCATAAATCTAGTTAGAAAATGTTGTGCATGTGTTTGAATAATTTATGGGATTGTCCAAGTTATGCATTTACCATGAGATTACATTCCTTTCTTTACTGAACAATTGTTACATCTTGTTCTTGTTCTAGGTAAAGCTACCAATTTTTAATGACTTTTCTCTGGAACTGAAAAGACATAGCTTTCATAGGTAAGTTGGTGTAGTTCTGATGACCAAACATAAAAAGAAGTGATGGGTGAATTAGCTAAGCATAAATAATATGACCTTGTTTTCAGGGGCAGATTTAAGCCTAAATGCCTAGTTAGCTAAAAAAAAGGGGGCCTGGCAGGCTCTATTCATACCAATATTAAACATCAAGCAAAAGCAAATAATTTCAACAGATAGCTGAATAAAATGAAATAAAATAGAGGTAAAGTAATTTATTTCTAAAAAACATTATATATATATATATATAAAGGGGCCCAGCCTAAAGAGTGGCCTGGTCAGCTTTAGCTGACCGTTAAATCCGCCCCTGCCTGTTTTATTATAGCATGTTATAAACTAATAATAAATTATAGTTGAATTAGAATTATACAAATTATTATACTGTACTTAGTCATAGTTAACTCTTTCACAATAGGTTCATGTATTTTACACAACCTTATAACCACTAAGTAAGTAGCTTGTAACCGTGAAGGTTTACATACTATAACTCTGAAAATACTTAATATATGTTCATGAAATTTGGCAAGCTTTCAGTAAACATTACAAGTTTTTTTGACAAAAAATCAGAATTTATAATCAAGCATTTTTACTGAAAATTTACACATAAATATACGGAGTTAGGGTTGACTGCTTCAAGTGCAAAGTGATTTTCATGTTAAGATTAAAAATACTTTCTTCATCTGAAAATTTTCAAATTTCATTTGTGTAATCTTCCTAAATAAATATAAAACATTTTATTTTTGGAAAAATTGTGTATGTTATGTGTTATTTTCTCTACCCTAACTCTATACGGGGTCAGTTGGTATGACTGACCACCATTAAAAATTAGGAAATCTCAATTACCCTTTTTTCTTTCTAGAACAATTGAAAATTGTAACAGGAAACTGTAATTGTTTATCCTAAATAGCTTAAAGCTCATAACAGCATGCATCTGCTTATACTTAATTTTATTGTTTTATTGATCTTTAAACTGTATCTAACTAATACACCTGCCACACAAGTTGTAAATTACTTGGCGAACATGCAACTCAATTCTACCTTATTAAATTATGTAATGCATGAGCTGTTTGTAAGCATACCTCATGATGAATTTTGTCTTTCATTATTAAAAATTAGGAAATCTCAATTACCCTTTTTTCTTTCTAGAACAATTGAAAATTGTAACAGGAAACTGTAATTGTTTATCCTAAATAGCTTAAAGCTCATAACAGCATGCATCTGCTTATACTTAATTTTATTGTTTTATTGATCTTTAAACTGTATCTAACTAATACACCTGCCACACAAGTTGTAAATTACTTGGCGAACATGCAACTCAATTCTACCTTATTAAATTATGTAATGCATGAGCTGTTTGTAAGCATACCTCATGATGAATTTTGTCTTTCATTATTTTATCCAATCTAACGTAAAGTTTCTAATTTTTACATTTTAGTTACTTTTAAAATAATAAATCGAGAATACACGTGAAAAACAAGAATTATAGGACTTACCTGGGTCCTTTTTGTTTGCTGTGGACTGTGAATGAAACTTAGGCCTATTTTTTTATACTAGTGGTACCACTACACTAAATAATCTTTTACTTGATAAAATTATGCTGCTAGGAACACAGAATATTAACATGCAATAACCAATGTCCTATAAATATCATAATTTTTTCTGGCTTTCTAACTATATGATAAGATTCTTTAAAAATTCACCTAAGCTCGTTGATGTGGTTCCCTGTGAAAAAAATTTGGAACTGAGCGACAAAATATACAATGCCCTATATAGAAAACAATGTAATATAATTTGTCATTTCATAGATTAAAACTCTTGCTTTGTATTAGTTATAAATAATGTAGTGTAAGATGTCAGAGAGAACTATTAGGAATTTGTGAAAGAGATGATGTGACAGGTGGGCATTTCAAGTGGGTCTGATTGACTAGTTTACTGTTCCATAAACAAATAAAATTGAAGGCTATTAAAATTATGCTTTGCCTCAATAACATCTATATTATAATAAATAATTTACCTTAAATTCCTTACTTCTCAGAGGGGTGACAAATAAATAGAGAAGAGAGAAGGCTTAGAGAGCAAATGTCACAATTCTCAAATTATGGGAGATTGAAGATTTTTGTAAATATTTCGTTATAAGATTAAGAACTTAAAACTTCTGTGATATTAAAATCTGACTTATGAATTACGTTTTGATGTAAAAATTATTCATATACACTGAGTGGTCACAGTAAATAGAC